GAAACGCAATAAGTTCTGACCGAAGTGGTTCCTGAAGATGACTTCCAATACGTAATGATTTGTGGAAGATCGGTTCATCAATATAGACTAACTCCACGTCTTCCCCAGGTTCGGCTCGATCAGGTCGACTCTTTTCTTTAAACAAGGCTCTGGGATCCAGCTCATCTTCTTCCAGGAGGGGCTCTTTTCCAGGTCGGCGTCCTCGATCCTCGGTTAAAGGATCTGAGGTGGAGGGCTCACCGATGTGGTTGTTCGGTTCTTCGGTCATCGTATCATTCGGATGATGATGTTGTGAGGAGATTTCATGGTTACTCGTTGAAGCTGCGTGAACTCCATGAGATGGGAGGAGCGTTACAAGTTGCCGAGCTTCTCTTTGATCTCCGAAGTGGGTTCCTTCTCCTCGGGTTGTCGGGAACTTTAATGCATAGTGGAAGATAGAGACTGCAGCACGAAGTTTGTATAACGCCGTTCTTCCGATGATGGCGTTGTATTCGTTATTAATATCCATAACTTTAAACGTCTCCATAACGAGTTTGGTGACATTCTCCGAGGTACCAAATCGGACGGGCAAAGTGATTTCTCCGATGGGTTTTGAAATACTGCCATTAAATCCCTGGATTTGATCGTTGCAAGGTCTGATCTCGGCAGGGTCAAGACCCATCTTGTCAAAAGCTTTCAGCATCAGAATACTTGAATAGGCCCCAGTGTCCACCATGACACGATGAACCGGGATGCCACATATCGGAACAGTAATGACCAAGGCGTCAGAATGAGGATGAGCGAAGTGATTCGAGTCCTCCATATTGAAGGTTATTGGGCAATTTCGATTGTTGAGAACATCTCTCAAATCGGTGGTGTAAACCTGTTTACCGGAGTTATAAGCTTGTCGTGCATACGCCTTAACCTGTCGGCGAGACAACGTACTCCGAGAGTTGTTGGTATTGACCCGATGGACAGTGATTTGCATTGGTTCAGGAGATCTATCTCGCTTACGTCCTCGGGAAATTTCATCAGGGGGAGAACTGGAGGTTTCCGAGGTAAACATGAATACTTCTTTATCCCCCTGTCGGATGCGTTTTGTCATTGCACCTCGGTCTTCCTCGTCATCTTCATCATCAAAGGATTCGATCTGACGTCCAGGACCTCGCCTTTGGGAATCAGCATTACGATAGAATTTCCTAAGCTGCGGATGGCCGATTAAACGCAACAATGCGGCCAACAAACTCAAGCACTCGTCCGTGTTGTGCCCGGGCGACTTGTGGTAATCGCAATATCGGGACTTGTCCAGTTTTTCTTCGGGCGCCCGAAGTGGCTTGGGATCTGGCAAAATGCCCTTCCCTTTGATTTCTTCATAAATAGTAGCTGCTCCCGCCGAGTACACAGTTTGATAACCGGATTTCACGTCGGTCGCATATTGTTTTCGGGCCGCTCGGACTTCGGGATCATTGGGGTCTCCTCGGGGAGGCCCCCTGAATTGAGTCTTATTTTTCTTGTCAAAAAATTTATTCTTCCTCTTTTCGTCGGTTCCCACCTTAGAGGCCTTTTGGTTAAAATTGAAATCGGGAACCGACATGGCTTCTTCCGCTATGATATGCTGTTGGGCTCGAGCAAGAAATTCTTGAAAAGTATTCGGTTTATTTTGGCATAACGTCCAGCGGAAAATCGAGTTTGGCTTCAACCCAGCAATAGCCATAACAAGCAAAGTTTCTGGATGACAGGGTTCCATATTCTGAACTCGGTCGTTGAAACGGGCGATATAATCTTTAACGCTTTCATCATCCTTTTGAGTGATGTTGGCAAGAGACTCTTTCGGGATAAGGCATACTTGGGCCCCGATAAAATGAGATCGGAAAGCCGATCTCAATTGTTGCCATTTCCAAATCGAGTGAGGGGGAAGCGAATGATACCATTTTTGGGCCCGAGACCCCAATGTTAGAGAAAACATGCGACACCGAAGTGCATCTGACGCTCCATGCAGGTCCATCCATGAGGTGTAATGACCGAGGTGGGAGTCCGGGTCGGATGTTCCATCATATAGCCCGATTTGGGGAACCTTGACTTTTCCAGGAACTGGTTCCGAAGTAAGTTCCGGAGTGAGGGGAGAATCGGCTTCCAAATACACCTGAGCCGAGGTAGAGTCCCGCCGAGGTGGATCCTCAGGTGCCCGTTGCCGACTTTCCAATTCGGCTATTCGTCGTCGTAGTGTTTCGAGTTCAGACGACTCTTGGCGAGCCCGATTCCGTTCAATATGCTGTCGGAGGTCGGTTTGCACCGGATTGGAAGGATGTTGGTGCTGCTCACGAGGCGGTGTCCGCCGTAAACGACCCGACTGGCTTTCAGCAGTCTCTTCTTGGGGAAGCATGGGAGGATTACGCCCGGCGTCAGCACGTCGTGTATTTTGTTCCGGAGGCGGTTGTGACATTCGATCACGAGGTTGAGACGTAGCATGAGATGTTGCTCTTCCGCCATCTTGTCGCGCCGGTAGACTCTGCCGGTTCGCGGGGGTCGTGGGAATGATGGAGTGTCCCGGAGCCGTTGTTGATGTTCCCGGCATCGTTTGGGCCATTAAAGCGGCAAAACCACGTGCAAATTCCAGATTTTGAAATAGAACAGCATAATCCGGTGTAGGTGGAGCTACGGCTTGTCGTCTAGCGGATTGCCCGGCGCTACGACTGTGGCCGTCTCGTGACGTGTGACCACGATGATCTGAGTGAGACATGGTGTCTAGGGCTGATATGCACTGTTACGTGAAAATGCGGAGATTAACCTCAAATCACTTATGAGGCCCTCCTTCTAGCGCCAAAATGTCGTTACGTGATTTGTAACAACGATATAACTTGTAATTAAGTGGATAATTTTGAATGATTTGAACGCAAAGCATGTAAGATTAAATCGACAATGGCCCCGGTCCGAGGTGAACCGAGGTGAAGAGCCGTGATGGGCTTTTACGTGTTGCTTAGTAAAGTTTTTTCAGTTCGGGAAGCGATCGATCCCCTTACAAATGTCATGGGTTCGCTATTTATAGTAATCTCGGGTTGATACATGGGGATCCGTGCATTGCTTTTTCGAATAAAGTAACTTTTTGTGGGCGGTTTGAGGCAGGGGGTCCCACATAAATGATGACAGATCTTGTGGAGCAGGAGACTCACTCGTAGGCGCCTTGTCACCTGCTTAAGGAGGTGACAACCTCGGTTCCATGTTGTCCTCGGTAGACGTTGACCACTTCGGTCCTCGGTCTTCGGTGGTTCAGACCGGTTCTTTTGTGTAGATCGGTGCGGTTCTGATTCACGTCGGTTCAACGGTTAATTGCGTTTAACAAGATGCTTAAAACCTCTTAACGGTGTCTTGCCGAGTCGGATGATAACATTACACTTGATATTAATGAGAGAAAAATATATAGAGTATTATAGTTTGTAATGTGCATGAAATTTGTGAATAAAAATTTTAAAATGACACTATTTTGAAATGAATATAATGTGATTTATTATAGATACTTGCACCGTACTAGTTGTGCACCAACTTTAAATAGGCATATAAGATGTAATTTTTGCACAATTTGTATTTCATATAATATTTTCAACAAATTAATATAGGTACGTTGTATTACATATTGATTCCATATTTTTATTTTAAAACTATTATTTAATGAGCATTTTTAATTTATTAAAGAATATTTATGACCCGTGCATCGCACGGGATTCGTACTAATTTGAAACAAAAAACAAAAAACAAAAA